GATGGACCAGAATAGAGGTGTGGTTTGTGACGTAAGATGTTATCAAAGTCAAGGGCAGAGAATGAGATTGTTTAACAGACAGAAAAGATTATTGGAGAAAAACCAGACTTCGTGGAGTCAAACTCCTATTATCTTCTGAAAAAGTTTAAACATGACATTTCTTCTCAGTAAACATTTTAGTTGACCGAGACTCGACCTTTAACATACTTACAAAACTTGCTCATTGAAGACAGAAAAATCAAGAAATGCATATTAACCTGATTTCTTCTTTGAATGAGGAATAAAAATCATTACTTACTGTTTATGTAAAATAAAAATGAGTAGTTCTCTTCAACCTGTAAGCATTGAGTGAACTAACACAATTTGATTATCAAACATTTGTAAAATAGTAATGATCATAGAGAATTGTCTTTTCTACTTGGTTACTTCAAGAAAGAAAGTCTCCAGATGGTTCAAACTGTATTTCTGGATGCAGATCAATGAAATAACAGTCTCTGTCCATCTGGTCAGTTTTGACATGGGCCTAGTTCACTACAGTACACAGGAGAAAAGTCTAAATAAAGTGTCAGCTCACCTCCACAAACTCCTCACTAAACTTTTTACAACTACAGGATCTAAAGTTGATGACAGGTCAGCTGCAGCAGGTTGGGAATGGAAGCAGACGTCGTCCTCCTGCAGCTCCTCTGTGCAGCATCACAACAGAGTACCTGCACAATAATTCACACGTTTTTGTCTTTCACTTTTTTTTTTGATAAATTACAAACAATTAACAGTTTCACACATGCACACACAATTCATGACTTGCAGCGATTCCTGATGGATGAAAAATAACATTGTGGTCGAGGTTTTCCTTCCACTTTATCCTGGATTCTTGTCAGCAGCCCGACATGTTTTCCACTTAAATCTGGTGATCTGTCCGTTGTGACAACTTTACTCCACAGAAGCTTCATTCTCTCACGACAGCAGACGGTTATAAAAATCCTCTCCATGTTTTTCCTTTCAGAGACTCCAGGGTCAAAAACACCTCCATTATCTCAAAACTGTTGTTAATCCCACAGGTAAAAATTAGGAGCTGAGCAGTTCTTTACATCATTACTTTCATCCAGTGCTAACAAATATACCATAACTTGAAGGACTCTCTCTGCCTTTTAGCTTATTTTGCTGGCTATTTTTTCATCAGTCAGTTCCACAAGGCGAGTCCCAGTCCTGCGTGATAAACTGTTTTTTTCTAACTTATCTTGGTCCTCCGGACACAACAGACCTGCTCTGTTTTTACCATTTTTCTTTTAAAAAAATCACCTTCAGAGAAAGGCTTGCTAAGTTAGCAGTTAGCAAAGTGTACTATTTGAAAACTGCAACAGTTCTTGGCATAAAAACTGCCTTTGATTGGACGTCAGTGAAACAATATGTTGTTGTCCACCCCATTTTAAACACTCGACACTCACTGTACACTTTTCTTTTCTTGGATGAACACATTTTTACAGACAAGTTTGTAGGGCAAAGTGAAAATAAAAGTGTAGAAGAAGAAATTACTACTCTTCCACTGTTACTTTGTCTCTAATACACGCCAGTTTCTGTAGTGCGCTTCTACTGGAGAAATGTGGGAACTACAGGTAAAACTAGGCTAGTTTTTTTTTTTCCTATTAAATGCAGTTTTTTTAATATAATTTGGACCAGTGGCAATTTTAACCTCTTAAATTTTACCTCAACATCCCTGAAAAATAAAATTGAAAAAATTGTCCAAATTTTGGACAATTTTGGCGAGCCAATTAAAATGCCCATCGGGCCAGGGTTTGCCCATGCCTGATCTAACAGGACCAGTGTAGACACCTGTTCGTTGTTATAGGCCATGAGAATATCATTGATAACTTTCACTAGTGCTGTGATGAGCTCTAAACCCTGACTGAAACTCTTCAAACAGATTATTTCTTTGTAGATGTTCACGCAACTGACCTGCAACTAGTTTCTCTAGAATTTTTGAGATGAAAGTTAGATTAGATATAGATCTACTGTATAGTAGGCTAGGATTCCTGAGTCAAGGTCAGTCTTTTTAAGTAAATGTTTAATTACAACAACCTTAAAGCTCTGTGGTATGTAACCATTTATTCGAGATAAATTAAGCAGATCCAAGACATGGTTATTAATTAAGGGAAATACCTCATTAAACTGTCTGGTTGGGATGGGATCTAGCAGACATGTGGATGGTTTGGATGAGGTTATTATTTTTGACAATTCAGAGCTCAACAGGACAAAAACTGTCCAAACACAAATCAGGCTCGTGAAATTTTTTAAGTTGTCTCATCTTACACAGAACCCGAGGCGATACTAGGAATGTTGGTTTGAAAATTTTCCCCTAATTACAACTATTTTATTTATAAAGAATCTTATAAAGTCATCACTGTTTATAGATAAAGGGATTCATGGTTCAACAGAGATGGGATTTTTCATTAGACTCGCTATGGTACTGAAAAGGAACCTCTGGTTATTTTTATTCTCATCAATTAAAGATGACTAATATAACCGTTATAGCTTTACAGAGAGCTTTTTTTGTATGTTAGCAGGCTATCTCTCCAGGATAAGTAATATTCCTCAACATTAGTGGAACGCCATTTTCTTTCTAGTTTTTTAGATGTTTGTTTTAAAGTACGTAACTCAGAATTGAACCAAGGAGCTAATTTCCTCAGATTGATTACTTTCCTTTTCTGTGGAGCAGCTAAGTCTCTGTTCTCTGATGCATTACTGTACAAGACAGAGGAAAACATTGATGGAAGATATTCCAAAAAAGTTCAATTGAGTCCAGATTGAACTTTTTTGGATTTTTCTACCTGGATTATTGAGCATGCATCAGGATAGATGGAAGAGATTGTTTCAATTTGGTTACAGCATTTTCTGATAAGCACCTGCTGAGATGAAATTTACTCTCAGTGACTGTGTAGTCATTTAATGAAAACTCAAAGTTATTAAAAAATGGTCGGACAGAACAGGATTTTGAGGAACTATTACCAAGTCCTTAATCTCTACACCATAGGTCAGAACTAAATCAAGAGTGTGATGATAAGAATGAGTAGATGTGCGGACGTTTTGTGTAAAACCAAATGACTCTATTAAATTATTAAAGGCTATGATTAAACTATCACTCTCAACATCCACATGAATATTGAAATCACCCATTATGATGATTTTATCAGTGTTTAATAATAAGTCAGTTAATAATTCTGAGAATTCAGACAAAAACTGAGAGTAAGCTCCTGGTGGACGATATATAACAACTAGTAAAAGTGGCTTTTCTGATTTCCATTTTGGATGAGAAAGACTGAGGGACAGTGATTCAAAAGAATCATAACTAATAACTGGTTTGGCATTATTCAATAATCCTGACTGAAAAATAGAAGCTACTCCTCCACCTCGGCCAGTTGTTCTAGGAACATGAACATTTAAATAATTAACAGGAGTGGATTCATTTATACCAACAAAATCCTCCTGTTGTAGCCAAGTTTCTGTCAGACACAATAAATCAATATGATGATCAGTTATCAGTTCATTAACTAACAGGGATTTAGAGGAAACAGATCTGATGATCAATAATCCACATTTAATGATTTTATGATTTTGCTCTGGTAAAGTAACTGTGTTTATTTTAATCAGATTTTTATGGTTTATATTTTTAGAGCTGATTTTTGGTTTATTTAATTTGAGCCGTGGGCGAGTTGACACTGTTTCAATGTGGGTGTGGGTGGTGTACAGAGGAGAAGCAGCAGAGAGGTGGAGGACTACAACTCTGCTTCCTGGACTGGTTTCTAGACTGGACCGTTAATTGTCAATAATCTGGATGTCCAACTGGATCAGATCAGTTTTTAGAGAAGTGCTGCTCCACTGAAGGTGGGATGGATTCCATCTCTCTGTATCAGACTGGGTTTTATCCAAAATGTCCTCCAGTTGTCTTCACATCCTACCTTGTTTTCAGAACACCACCTGGACGCCGGCAGTTGAAAGCCGACATACGGCTAAACATGTCATCGCTGGTCAGGTTGGGGAGGGGGCCGGAGAAAACTACGGAGTCCCACATTGTTGCATTGTTGCACACTGAAGCAACATTAATTTTAGTGACCTATGATTTGCTTAACCAAATTAAAACCGTACAACAATGGTGGAGAGAATGTGGTCACATAAATCCCAGTCACCTACATGTTTTCTGGTCATGTGATAAATTACAACCATTCTGGTCGGAGGTTGTTGGGATAGTAGACAAAGTTCTTTGGTGTAAAGTTCTGAGGGATCCACGGGTTCTATACCTTGGTCTGATTCCAGAAGGTTTGATTCAAAGAAGCGGACATTTATATCTTTAACATAATGATGGTGGCTGTGAAGACAACTATCACAAAAACTGGCTGAAAAGAGTCACCAAAAGTAAAACAATTGATCAAAATAATGGAAGAGATTTACAAAATGGAGAAAATGACTTTCTTGCTGTGACTCAAAATGGATGCCTTCAAGCAGAACTGGTGGAAATGGACCAAATATAAAACGCCCATTGTGACGGACATTAACGAATGAGAAATGTCTCCCCAAAGCCTGCGTTCTGTTTTTTGATTTATCTTTGGTTATGTTCCATTTCTGTTCAATTTTCTTGTTAAAAAAGTCCCAAGAGTGTTTTAAAGAAATACTTTGAAGCCGTCCGTGCTTTAATGTCCTCGACATTTTAACAGAGGGTGGACTGTGCATGAACTCTTTGGTTTTAAGGGCAAATAAATCTGACAATCATCGAGTTTACTGGTGTGTGAAGGCACAATTCATGTTATTTTAAAGTGGTGTTTGGTGGACTTTTAATTTAAAAAAGATTGAAAGCAACCAAAATATAAAGTTTTGTCACGCAAGTAAAGAGAATATTGAGTGTTCTCTGTAAATGTAGCATTTTAAAGCAGCCTGGGGTTTCACTTCAGGCTGAAGTCTTCCAACTGCTCCATCATCATCATCATCTCTGCCCTCTTGTGCTTCTGCAGGGAAAATTATGAGACGAGTTCTTCGTAAAATCGCCTGCAATGAGAAGGACCTGGGCGACATCTCCACACTGGCTGACTCGTCTGTCGTTGATGAGCTCTTCCAGAACAGATGCTGCGCTGCAGTGTGACGACGTCGCCTCCTGGCTCTGTCCGTGTCGGCCATCAAACACAAGCGGGACGAGGATTCACCTGTGAAAGAGCAGCGCTTCAAACGACCGCTGCTCGTGTCTGAAGCCCCAGCAGGGGCAGAGTCACCATTTCTGTCTGCTCACTAGGAAACATTTGCTACTTCATTTGCAGTTGTAATGCCTTTTCTTTCAAGTAACAAAACATCTGATTTCAGGCTTGTAACTTTTTTCTTGGACCCAGATGTTGACGGTCATGCAGGACCATGCCACAGCTGAGCTTTGAGAAGACTCTGTTGGTTTTCTACCAGTGATGCAGCTGCTCAGTCCAGGCTCCTCCAGTACGTGCTGCGCTGCAGGGAACCCTGTTTCCTTTACACTTGCTCTACTTCAAGTGGTTTTGGACAGATAACTCCCTCACACTTTTAAACCTTTTCAATCTTTCTAATGCTCATGCATTCAAACAGTTGTGTTTTGTTTGTCTTCATGTGTATGCGCTCATTTGATGACGCTTCATTTTGATTGGGTTCATTCAAACTGGACAAATTCTTCTCAGCATCTGAACAGTCCAGCACATGTGCTAACAGAGGAATAATTAGAATCCAGATCAAGTCGTGTTCTGATCTAGAAGAGTTAGGAACCGTCTGCAAGTTTCTATACTTTAACAAACCCGTGTTTTTAATGTAGCTGTTGCTATGGGATCAAACCGAGAGGAGTGTGTGGTTCATAAAGTGTGCCATAGTTTAGGTGGAAACACACCGTTCTGTATCCTGATGCATGCTCATGCTCATACACTGTTCTGTATCCTGATGCATGCTCATGCTCATACACTGTTCTGTATCCTGATGCATGCTCATGCTCACACACCGTTCTGTATCCTGATGCATGCTCATGCTCACACACTGTTCTGTATCCTGATGCATGCTCATGCTCACACACTGTTCTGTAGTTTTGGAAGAAACTGCTGATTTTAGTCATTTCTAGACGTTCCCTTGAAGCTCATCTCACATCCATCAGGTGTTCCCCGTCCACTTTGAAACGACACCTGCTGCCACAGACACCAGTGTTGGTCCAGGTTTATGTAAGTTTCATTAACAGGGAATGATCTGTACAACCTCAAACACAATTCCCACCCACAACCCCCAGGGCTTACATTGTGAACTGGTAGAAAACCAATTTGAAGTGTTGCTTGTTAAATCCAAGCCATAAATTCTGGGAATGATAACATTTTATTTGTTTGTTCTTTTTAAAACCTGTTGACTTTATTTCTGTTGAGGTTTTTACTTGGTAGAACATTTTCTCAAGATTTGCGGGATGTTTTTGTCTTGTATATAATTTATATTTGACTTGTTGTAGTGTGAAGATGTTCATTTTCAGACATCAGCTGCAAAGCTTTCAGCAGCAACGGTCTAATCTTAACAATGATTACAAAACATTATTCAAGAAGTGTCATATTTTGATCTTAGACCAGGAAGAACACTCAAATCTGTCCTTCCTGTGTGTTTTATGAAAAGATAAATGTACTGTGTCATTTTACAGAGATGAGCAGCAGTAATCATTTCAGAGCTTGTAGATGTCATGTGCTTCATCACTGCGTGGTGTCCCAAGTCATGACATCGTCTTTATTCATGCATCACTTTGCTTTTATTGTTAGAACTGCATCTGTGCAGCTGTGGGGCTTCATCTGCCAATTTCAACTACCGTGCAAACGTTTACCTAAATGACCCGATCACCACTCGGAAATTTTATAGTTAATGTTTTGGAGATGAAATGAAAGATATTGGGGTTGAAGATATTACAAACTAGCTGATTCTTTAAACTGATGTGTTCAGAAGGAATTACCACTGCACACTCAAAAGTATATTTTTTACCCACAGCTTAAGGCAAAATGGAGATCGTGCTTTTGCTTCTCTGTAGTGTTAGAAAATATGTCATGAAGCAGGAATAAATTTTATGGAAAGCATCAAGTAATCACTGGCTCTCTGTCACAACCAACTGCCCTTTTCCAACCCAGTCCAGATGGCTGACCTTAACCATCACAACAATGGCTGTAATGGTTTTACAGTTCGACGCCCAACATGTGCTCTGAGCTCACGGGTTGATTCCAGTACTCAACGATTCAATCGTTTGCTACTTAGAAAGATACCTTTAAAGTCTGTTCCGTAGTAAAACAGGAATTTGTCCTCAGTACAGCTCTGGAAAAGGAAACGTTTAAAACTATCTACACTCATTTAAAAACGTTCACAGTCTCTTATTTAAATGAGTTTTTACAGAGGATAAACGACTTCTTGTAAATGTTTGTTCAATTGTTTATTTATATAGCGACAGAGTTGTCTCAGGGACTTTACAGGAACATTCACATAAAAGCCAGTTAGTAAAGTTCTCTATCTAAGAATCCAGCAGACAAGATGAATCTTGGCTTCGTTGCAGTCTCCCATCCTGAGCAAGCACAGTGGAGACAGTGGGAAGAAAAAACTCCCTTTAACAGGAAGAAACCTCCAGCAGAACCAGCTCAGGACAAGAGACCGTCTGCTTTGACCGGCTGGTTGAGAGGACAGGAAGGAGAGACAGACCAACACAGAATGGTAGGTCCAGGTATAGGTCCATGTCCAGGTGTAGGTCCAGGTCCAGATATGGGTCCAGGTATAGATCCAGGTATGGGTCCAGATATAGGTCCAGGTATGGATCCAGGTATAGATCCAGGTATGGATCCAGGTATAGGTCCAGGTATAGGTCCAGGTATGGGTCCAGATATAGGTCCAGGTATGGGTCCAGGTATAGGTCCAGGTATGGGTCCAGGTCCAGATATGGGTCCAGGTATAGGTCCAGATATGGGTCCAGGTCCAGATATGGATCCAGGTATAGGTCCAGGTGTACCTGAAAGACAAAAACATGTTAAGGATATAAAAAATAATTACAAATACAAAACAGGTTGAGCAGAGTAAGTAAAGACAGCAGCAGAGTGAAAAGTGTGGTCAGTTTGTCCTCCAGCAGTCTAAGTCTATAGCAGCAGAACTAAGGGACAGCTCAGGAAACCCAAGCTGACCCTAACTATAGGATTTATCAAAAAGGAAAGTCTTAAGTCTAGTCTTAAAACTGGACAATGTGTCAGCCTCACGGACAGAGACTGGAAGTTGGTTCCACAAGAGAGGAGCCTGAGAACTGAAAGATCTTCCTCCCATTCTGTTTTTGTAAACTCTAGGAACCACAAGTAAACCTGCAGTCTGAGAATGAAGTGCTCTGTTAGTAAAATATGGAACAATAAGATCTGTAATATAAGATGGAGCCAGGTGGTTGAGAGCTTTGTAGGTTAGAAGTAAGATTTTGAATTCTATTCTGGATTTGACAGGGAGCCAATGGAGAGAAGCTAAAACTGGAGAGAGATGATCTCTCCCAGTAACTCCAGTTAAGACTCTGGCAGCAGCATTTTGGATCAACTGAAGACGTTTTAAAGAAGTATTTGGACACCCAGATAATAAACCATTGCAATAGTCCAGTCTAGACGTGACAAATGCATGGACCAGTTTTTCTGCATCATCTTTAGATCAGATGTTTCTAATGTTAGTGATATTACGCAGGTGGAAGAAGGAGGTTCTAGTAACGTTTTTAATGTGGGGGATAAAAGACATGTCCTGATCAAAAATAACACCAAGATTTTTAACATTAGAGCTGGAGGACACATTAATGCCATGCAGGTTTTTATGTCTTTAAGACATGTACATTAATAATTTATGTAGAATTAAGGATCCAAGAGCACGTGCCT